ACTCAATTCGGACTTAAAACGAACATTTACCGTAAAACTGAAAATTCTAAAATTTAAATCTTTTACTCTTGGTTTTTCCTTCAATTTGTTGAACATATTGCTTCTTAGGAGCTAATATAATGATCTTGGAATATTCTAACATTTACGGAACCACATTCGGACTTAAACCGAACGATTACCGTAAAACCGAAAATTGTAAAAATTTTGGTTTCTCTTAAAATAATTTAAATATACTACAATGTCTAAATAAATTTTTTCGCTTCTTTGAACATTTATAACTTAAATGTTCATGGATACTTAACCTTACTTCGAGCCTTAACTTGTCTCAAATTGTGCTAAAGCTCGGCTATTTCTCAATTAAACTCAACTCATGACCGAACATACTTGTTCAGTTCACTACTTATCTTAAACGATTAATCAAAATATACTCAATTTCAATTATTCGTCATCTTATATTAATTAATCTCGTCTTATAAATCCATTTATAAAAACAAACAGATCGGAATTAATTAATTACTGAACTGGCTCGGAACTAGGAACGAGCATTATTAATAAAAGTAATTAGTTCAAACTTAGAATAATTACTTTTATTAATTACTGAATGAGATATTACAGCTTCGAGCAAGGTGACTTTGTCTACCTTAAGTTACGACCTTTCAAGCAGCGCACCGCAGCGCAAAAGGCCGCAACCAAGCTCGGCGTTCGCTACTATTGCCCATACCAAGTTCTGAGACGCGTAGGCAATGTGGCCTATTGACTTGAGCTTCCGGAGGATTCACACATCCACCCGGTGATTCATGTTTCGCAGCTCAAGCAGAGTCTAGGTGAGTCGCACCGAGTGTATGACCGACTGCCGGCCACGACACGAGATGGACACATCGTTGTACGACCCGGTTGCGCAGTCGAATATCAGAAAAGTAGGAAGGCTGGTCGATATCGATGGGAGGTGTTGGTCGAGTGGGAAGATTTACCGACGGAAGAAACGACATGGGAGGACTTAGAGGAAATGCGAGCCCAATTTCCGTCTTTCATCCTTGAGGACAAGGAAGCACTTGAAGGGGACGGGAATGATGAGAATGCGGCACGACAACACAAGAATGCCGCGAGTCGGGCTTATCACGCGAGGAGGAGGTTAGCACGAAGAGGAGGCAACGCGCTAGTACTCGAAGCAGGCATGCCCGGGCACGAAGGCGAAGCGCGCGAAGGAGTCGGGGACGCAAGCGGCACGGGCCGAGAGGGCGTGTGGGCACGCGTTGGCGGGGAGACGCACGCGACCATAGTCCTCGAGAGATTAGGAGAAGCGAAGGGGGAAAGAGCACGCGCGCGCGAAGACAAGGATGCCTTAGTCCTCGAGGCAATAGAAGAGGCGGCCAAATGCGAGACCCGTGGCGGCTAGGGTTTCGGACGTGCCGCGCAAGTCAAGGATCTATAGGATTCTTCTAGATCTTTAGTTTCCTTATTACTTTATGCTTTCTAGATTGTTTAGAACTCTTAATATTTTATTGCTTAGTTGGTTGTTTAGTTTTATTAGGATTAGATTTACTTTGACGCCTATATAAAGGCCCATGCTCTTGTTATCTTATTCATTCAGAAATATATACAAAAACCGAACTTTGTTCAACTCTTTGCTTAGAATTCTCTACGTTTTCTTTTGCAATCAATACTCGAAGGGGCGCGCGAGTGAACCTCCGAACCTATCGTCGTGACCGAGGCGCTTTTGTGGCTCGACCGGCAATCGGACGCACGATCCTTCATCAGCTGGCCTCGGCGATGCGCGCTGCTAGGCCTACGCTGGGGCACTATGGTGCGGCTGCGTCCTTGGCCGGCAACTTATTCCGACAACCCCTAGCTCAAACTATTAATTATGACATCTAGGGTTCATTTAGGCTATTTAGGCTCGGGATAACTCGCTCCAATTTTAATATTGTCTAGACTCGATTTTACTTAACTTAGGTCTCGATTTTTATTTACTTTTTGGCAAAGTGACTAGAGCACCGAACATTCAACTAACTTATCTTAACATATTCAAGCCTCAATTTCAGTTTTCCTTGGTAAAATTATCACGAATCTAAAAATCACCCGGGCACTAAAATCGAGCCAAACTAGGGTTTCTAGTTCACCAAGCAAACCGACTCATTTGAATTTGAAATTTTAGGTGTACACTTACTCTGATTTAAAACGATTTTTGGTGTAAAAACTTCAGCAAATACTAGCATGCATATATTTTTTGTTCGGGTCCAATTTAGGCTAAAAATCAAGGTTTTTGCTACCCTATCACATGACCTTCAAAAATTCTCAAATTTTATACATAGGCTCACCATAATATTCCACAATTTTAGGCAAAATATCTCAGCATGTACTCACACATAACAGAAACTTCACGTATTTGCCGATTTAGGTCTAAATCTCGATTTTTAGTTCACCTAGCAACCGAACTCAAAAAAATTTAAAATTTTAACCTCAGCCTCTAATCATTATTTTTATGATTTTAGGAACTGAAATCTCATTTTTACCACACATGCATTTTTAGATACGAAAATTAAGCAATAAATAACATAAATTCTAAATTTGTTATTTCTTCTTCATTTTTCTTATTTTATTAAATTTTATATTCTTTATTATTCATGTATAATCCAACGGAGGATGTTTTTGTGTTCCTACCTTTTTCAGGATTCAAAAACGAAAATGAAAGATGCTCGGAGCTTCGGTGGCCTTGGTGGCGCGTGCACTGCTTGACCTCGGTGTGCTGCGTGTTGCTGTTGGAAGCTACTTGGGCGTCCTTGCGTGTGGGGAGCCGCTCACGACGACGGGCGAGCGACTGGATTGCTTCGGTGTGCATGCTGGCTGGGAGCTCGAACCTTGCCGGAAAAATGCTCGGAAATGTGGATATGGCCGAAAGTTTTACTAACTTAGTCTAGGAGGATTTTTGCTTAGGAGAGTTTACGTGGGGAAAAATGAAGAAAATGGAAGAAGTCTTCTCTTTATAAATGAGGTGAGAACATGTGCCTTGGTTCCTACATAAGTTGTCTCCTCTTTCTACTTAATACATGCTTTGTGTCTAGCAAAAGGTGGTTGGGTAGGTGAGAAGTTAAGAAGCATTTCAAATTTCAAATCTTGAAGTCAAATCTTGAAGTTACTACCCTAAGGATGTTGAGCTGGCCGGGTGGGCCTTGGCGCAGGTGGGCTCGGGCGCGGGACTAGGCGCCGTTTGGGCCGTGTAGTGTTGTTGTGTGTATGGGCCAGCTGTTTAGCTAAATATGCATTGTTAATAAACTAAATATGCATTTGTTATGAACTAAATATGCATATGTTATGGACTAAATGCGCATTCAAAGTATGCAATTTAGAGTGATATCCTGGAGACTTACTGCAGCCTACAACTACTTTCTTTATGTTTTCAACTAAGTATGCATTATGTATTAACTAAATATGCATTGTGTATTAACTAAATATGCATTGTGTATTAACTAAATATTCATGATGAATGAAGTAAAACTGCATTATGTATCACATTAGTTATATAATAAAAACCCTAAGGGCCAGAGTGCAGTAGTTCTTCAAACTTTAGATAAATTATAAATTGACCCTACGAATCAAATTGCGATATTTCATAATATTTTAAAATTGCAATTAAATACTTAGGATTTGTCTAATTTCCCAATACAAGTCCCTTGCCCCATATTTTGGTTTTCAACGGGCGGAAGTACAGCGACCACGAGTACGTCGACGCGAATGCCATCGTAGGCGGTGACAAGCACTACATCCTTGACTTCTTTAACATCAACGCGTTTACGATATAGCGCCTGGCGGACGGGTTCTCCTCCTTGGAGACGTTCACCCCAATCTTCGTCGCCAAGCCGAACGAGCTGCGGGTAGGTGGTGAAGACCATGTGCGCTACGGTGAGGAGATTGACGACGAAAGCCATCATCGACGTACCGTGACGACGCCTGGCACACGTGCAGTCGAAGAGGTTTGGGAAGCACGGGCTAACCACCGACGACGAGGACGACAGGCGAGAGCTCGGCGTGCAGCGGGTGGACTTCCTGATGCTAGTGAAGGGGATCAGTTCTGCTGTAGGGAGGTGTTTGCGATGACGGTTGAATGGGGAATCTGTCGACGATTATGAACTAAAAAATTGATTTACATATTAAGTTCGGGACCAGAGTTGGATTTACATTAATTTAGTTATTAGTATAACCTTAATTTTAATATAATAATTATTTTATATTATTAATATGAGTCATTGATTATACATAAATCAATTCTAGGATTAGACATCACACTGCTGTTTTAGAGAAAAGTTCTATTAGATCAATATATATACATATAACGACGACACTGTAGCTTTTACGAAATCATAATAAAAAAAAATTGATTAATAAATAAAATTTTGTATATAAAAATTGATTTAAGTAAAATATAGAATAAAACAATAAGAAAGGATGAAATTTGAATAACGAAACGGATTTTTTTCTCAAAAATCTTAGAAAAATGCTATAAGTACATAATAAATGTACATAGAGGTGTACATTAACACTCACATGGAGTGTGGTCCACTTAATTTTTTATTTTTGGTAAGTCATTCAATGTTAATGTTATGTACTTCACTATCTATAATATTATGTACCTATAGCATTTCTCAAAATCTTATATCGGATCGCGACATCACAAGTTCCATGAAAGAATCTACCTTCTTTTTTATTTCTACCATCACAGTAAATAAACCAATTACAGAGTATGGAATTTCGCACCCAAAACGAATAACGGAAAATGGAAGAAAAAACAAATTCACATAATCAGATCTCCACCCTCCATTATCAATCCCCATTTCTCTTCTTCGAATCCAGCCGTTTAACCTCGCCATACATAAATAAAATCTTCCTCAATTTTCTCTTTCCTCTCTCGTCCGCAGTCGGATTTCTCAGATACGAAGTTCAAACCCTTCGGACAGTCACACGCTCCGTTCTTCGCACACGAACGCTCTTTACAGCTTTTTAGCTGTATACGGGTAGATAAATGGATTCGGATCAGGGGAAGCTTTTTATCGGCGGGATTTCATGGGAAACGAACGAGGAGAAGCTGAAGGAATACTTCCAAGGCTATGGAGAAGTTGTTCAGGCTGTTGTGATGAGGGATAAGATTTCTGGGAAGCCCAGAGGATTTGGATTTGTTGTTTTCTCAGATCCGGATATTCTCGATAGGGTTCTTCAGGATAGACATGTGATTGATGGCCGCACGGTGAGATTGGGAACTCAAATTTATGTCATTTTTTCTTATGTGTTCGTTGGAGATTGGGACTTTTTGGAGTAGGGAGTTAATTTTGTTGGGATTATGAGTTGGTTCTGGTTATTATAAATCCGTTTGGTCCTTGATATGGCTTTCTTAAAATTTCAGCCTATGTTTTGTTGTCAAATTGTTTCTCTGTTCTCTTGTGCCTGCGTTGGACTACGCTTCATGTATTCTTGTTGTATAAAAATATAACTTTTGTTTTGAGTTGTCTGGTGGGCCTTCTTTGTTTCGGAGTTTTTTTGTGGTTGAAATGAGTTGCTTCTTCTGTTAAATCAACAGTAGTTTGTGGCTATTTGTCACAGGTAATTAATTTCTCATAATCTTTAGTTGAATGCTTTCTTGTTCTATTTTCTGGTATGTATCTGTTTCTGTTCTTAGTAACGATCTTGTATCACCGTAATGTGTTTGAAATTTACGGCTTGTTTTCCAATTTTTTTGTGATAACTTTTCTATTGATGAAAACCTGAATTTTTTATGAAACCACTCTTAAATTATTCATCACTACGTGGAGCTATGTGTAAGGCTTTTTTTCAGAGAATGTCAAACTGTAATTTAGATATCTATTCCATGGACCTGTGGGTGGTATTTCTGCTTGAACCGAAAAGAGCATCACATAACAGTATATTGCTGGATTATTCTGAGCTGCATTTTAGTACTTATAAGTCCGGGTTCTAATGACACATGGCACATTAATCTTCTTACTGGTGTGTAGTGTGGTGTGTAGGCATTAACTCGGTGTAATTTTATGTGTTCTGATTCTTCCTTTTCCTTTTTACATTTATTTGTTTTTGACGTGTTTCCCAATTGTTTTGCCTTTAAACATATGCAATTCATGAAGGTGTTGAAAGTTATGATGATGAGCAGGTTATGTGAAAAGGGTCATCTACTGCCAGATACTGATGGTAGTTGAACTAATTATGCTCTGAGCCAGGGATTCTGAAACTTGTTTAGTGATTATTGTGCATAATTATCTGTTTGGATTTCGTTCTCTTTTCTGAGCAGCCTCATTACATACATTTTCTTTTTCCGCAATAGGTTGAGGCTAAAAGAGCTCTATCAAGGGAGGAGCAACAGGGTCCAAGAGGCGGCAACTCTGGCGGTCCCCGTAGCTTCGGTGGGGGAAATAACAGGACAAAGAAAATCTTCGTTGGCGGCCTTCCACCAACATTGAGCGAGGATGGGTTTCGTCAGTATTTTGAATCTTACGGTGTTGTAACTGATGTAGTAATAATGTATGACCAGCAGACGAATAGGCCACGTGGGTTCGGGTTCATCTCATTCGACTCGGAAGATGCAGTCGACAGGGTTCTTCACAAGACCTTCCACGATTTGAACGGTAAGCAAGTGGAAGTTAAGCGGGCCCAGCCTAAAGACTCTAATCCTGGTGGTGGGGGAGGCCGGCCCATGGGAGGATATCAGGGGTACAGTTCTTCTGGTGGGAATTCAAACCCTTATGATAGTCGAATGGAGTCCAACAGGTACATGCAGTCGCAAAATTCTGTTCCTTTTGGATCATCCGCGTATAATGCTGCACCAGGTTATGGATATGGCCCCACCAATAACAATATGGGTTACGGCTATGGGAATTATGGTGGTGGAAATAATCCTGGTGCTGGATATGGTGGTCCTCAGAGAAATTCATGGGGTTCGCAGGGTTCGTCTGGGTATGGCTATGGAGGAGGGTCACAGTGGGGTGGCACTAGCACTGGCACTGGCCAATCTCCAGGGTATGGTTATGGAGGATATGGTGGAAGTGAGGGAGGCTATGGGAATCAAGGTAGTTATGGTGCCGTTGGCGGCCGAGCGCCAAATGGTGGCTCGGTTGATCATGCTGCGGCTGGTTATGGAGGTGGTGGAAGTTATGGTGATGGTGGTAATGCAGGATATAATTCTGGGTGGCAATCTGATGCATCACAGGCTCCCGGTAACTATGGTGGGAGCTACGGTTCGACTAGGCCATCTCAGTAGTGATTTTTTTTGCTGATTTTTGTTCGTGTTTTGTCTTATCGGAGCTTATGGTGTTTGACGTGTTGATCGTTTCTGGTGCAGAGTAGGTTGCTCTTGCAACTTTGCTGTACCCTTTTTTATTTTATTTTAATTTATTTTATCTTGGTAGCCCCGTAAAATAAGTTGTTATTCGGGAGTAGATTTGCTGAAAATTTTACTTGTGTGAACTGTAGTTTTAATTCGGCTTGCTGTTTGCAGAGTCCCTTGCTTGTAGTAATGTTTGAGATATAATATATTTTGTTGAGCTTCCTGTGAGTTAATTGCTGGAGTTGTTTGGTGACCTTAGTGGTTGAGTATTTCATGGGTTATACGGGATGCTGAAGCTTCTTGTCTTTGTATTTGATCATTATATATGTTATGTTGGTTACTGATGGAAGATGTTTAAAGATTATAACAGAGACAGGATTTTTCCAGGAAGGCTTTGATAACCTTAATAGATGAGATTTAGTTATACGTGTCTTGGGTTTCTTTGTTAGGTAGTGAAATTTTGCAGTAGTTGAGCCCCTTTTGTTTTTTCTCTGATCCTTTTCTTCCTTTCGTTTATTTTGGTTGGGAAGTTGAGCGATTACCATATCTGTAGATCGATCTTGTAAATGGGTAGCCATAATGGTAGTGGTAGAGATAGACAGAAATTTTTCCAGATGACATAATTGTTTTCCCCTGCATTTGGCATTTATGTTGTACAGGCTTGGAGATGGTCCTGTTCCGGGAGGGTTTGGAAAAATCGTCTTTTCAAATTAAAGGCAAGGCTTAATGCAGCATATCCCTCTATCATGTCTTATGGAACTATAGAGGTTGCAATGATTGGCTGTGATGTGAGTTACCTCTAAAGTGGACAGCAGGTGGAACTTGGCATATTTCAATCGCCATGATACCTGTGATTAAGTACCATCCGTTGTGGGCTGTTAGCCCGACAGTGTAAGAAGATAGTGCCAAACAACCTTTTTAAGTAGAAGAGCCTTTTTTTTTTTTTTTTTTTTTTTTTTTTTGNTTGACTTTTGTTATTAGCTTAAGCTAAGTAGAAATCTAATTATAAAGCTGAGAAATACATGGCCTGGCTATTCTGGTAGCAGGTTATTTTTATGCTTATTCAGAACCACGCATGTGGAAGTCCATTTAGGGAATGGATTTGTGTGCAATGAATTTCTCCGAAAGTCTGTATATCCTACTTCTTTAGAGTGATCACTTTTTTAAGAATCAACCTATCCATCACTTCCATTGAGTGCACGTGTTTTAATAACCAACATATCCATCAAGTTCATCCCTAGTTAAGTACTCAACGTCGATGACTCAGTGAAATAGACTGTTTGCATCAAAGTCCATCTGAAAGGTATTTCTGAACAAGGACTATATTTTGACCCAGACTTTTTGTATAATGTTTAGAATTGAAGTGTAGATGGTATAATGGAATTGTGTTCCAACCTGTTGTGTGGATCTGAGAATAATGGTAATGTTCAGAATTGAAGTTTCTGTTACACGGTGGAGGATGGACGTTTGTGCATAATGTGCTTTAATATTTATTTATAATGCAAAATTGGGTTTTTAACCGTTTTATATTCTACAAACCAATGTGACATCTGCTGTTACGTTGAAGTTTGTGTGTTGATTGGGATGTGTTCAAGTTCCGCTACACATGAACACTATTTTCGGTTGGCTTTGTCTATGCCCATTGGACATTGTGTTTTCAGGCTGGGACTGGGGAAAAGGGTCGAGCAATGGCGGATAGAAAAGCTTGTTCCTGTTGGACTGTTTCCAGTGAAGTGAATTGTATCTTATACATTTGTAACCGTTGAAATAGCTCTTTATATTCTTTGAACAGCCACGGTTTTAGTTTTAGGGTTCTTTTATGATTTGTGGAGCCACAATGCTAGCTTAACTTAAATTGAAAAGGATATCCGTCCCTATATATTAATTGAGAACGTGCTGAGCCTATGTGGCAGGCTCGCATGCTTCGGGATCCTATGTGGCAAATATACATGCTTCGTTATTAGGCTTTGGTAGATTTAGTTTACTTCTAATTCAAATATATTTAGGTTCGGATTATCTATAATATGTTGATTATTTATAGTAAGGGTGGGCACCGGCCGGGACGGTCTTGGATTTGACTTGTCCGGATATCCATTCCACTTTTATGAATCCGTCCATGAACGAGGCACCGTCGCCACCCATGTAATACATGAGTGTTGTACTAGTACTTGTTTTAGATTTAAAAAGATGATAATATTTGCAACTCCATCATCTTATTAAATTGTGTTTTGCAATGAAGTCCACTAGAAGACTAATCTAAAGTTTAAAAAGATCAATTGATGTAAATAAATCAAATTAAGATGTGTCATTCTACTATCAGGTATACCTTCTACATGTTTTGGATATACCTGACAACATGAACCTATTGAAATTGTTATCCGTGTTCTTTTATTTCATTAAATAAATATTTAAGGAAATTTTCATTTATTAAACTGCTAAATTGGCATTTCTAAAAGCCTCTTGGGAAATTTTTTTTATATGGTGCTCTAACTTTTAGTACCCAAAGTGTTCACTTAACCAATTTTTGTACTGCCTGTTAATCAATTTTTTGTCCACACCGTTAATTACGCCTAAACACTAAGAGCATCTCCAATGCTATAAGTGTGAAATACCATTATTTTTAACACATGTCAATTAGTGATTGTAATGTTAATCTATATTGGAATAATGTTAAAAGACTAAAAATTTCAATGAAACTAGTACCTCCAATGCATCAATTTGATAAGAAGTTATTTGTATAGGTGGACTAATTAAATAATTCATTGATACAAAAAAAATAAAAAAATTAAAACAAATATAAAGTAAATTGATGAGTCATCATGTATAACATGGTGTTAGATATTAGAAAGTGAGCTCAACATTGTCAACATTAAATGACATCCACCTCATCATGAAAGAGTTCATGACAAGATGCATTGGAGAAAAAAATAGAGACACACTTTCAAAAATTGATAATATGTATGACTTTTTATAATGTCAAAAGTTGCATTGGAGATGCTCTAATGGCGGTCATCAAGCTGTTGTGTCTCAACGACCTGCTGACATAA